GGGAAATGTGGAGGCCCCATGATGGTCTTCCAAGCATGGTGTTATCTGCCCTCTGTGACTTCACTGGTTTCTTTCAGTACACACAAGACATACTGGCTCCCAGCTGTTCTCCTCCCCCTCTCTCAGGGCCTTTGCATGTCTCAGGGCCTTTGCATGCTGTTCTTCCACCCTATATTCTCATGGCCAATCCCACCGCCCCCCTGCCCCACCCAATCATGTCTGCTCAAATCAAGGCTTACCCTAACTAGCCTATGCTACCTATATCTTCCTTTTAGCCTGCTCAGCTTTTCTTTTATTCACAATGCTTGTCATCAACTATACTTAATTCCTATTTTATCTATTGTTTATTGTCTTCAGACTCTCACCAGCTTCTTTATCTGTTTTGGTTTCTGCTGTGTGCCCAGCTCTGAGCAATGCCTGGAACATCATAGGTACAGAATATCTGTCATTGACTAGCTGAACAAGATTGAAAATCAACAGGAAATCCTTCATGCCTTGACATTCCCCAGACCCTCACAAAACCTGAGGCTGCTTCTTTTTTTATTTCTCTTAATTGTGCTGGTATTCAGGGTGTCCCTTAGCTTTTTTGCTCAAGGCTGGTACTAGAGTACCAGCCACAGCTCCATTTCTAGCTTTTTTGCTGGTTAATTGGAGATAGAGTCTCATTGGCTTTCCTTCTCAGGATGGCTTTGAACTGTGATCCTCAGGTCTCAGCTAGAATTATTGGCATGAGACACCTGCACCCAGCTGTGTCTGGGGCTTTTCCTAAGAGGAGTATCTCAGAACCAATATACAGAGCCCAAGAGAGAGTGAGTTATTACCCATAGAAACCCTGTTCTTTGGTCTCATTGCCTGAAATTTCACCTTTATGAGATTGCTGTTTTGGGTCAGGCATGGCTCTCTGCCTGCAGTCTTATTATAATCCTGTTGGAATTGAGAAAGAAGTCCTGAAGACAAAGTAGAGGGGTTGGATGAGACTCTTTGTACTTAGAGATAATTAGCAGCAACAGCACCCAAAGGCTATGCTACAAATGAAGAACATTCGAGCCTGTGGCTAGTAACATACCCTATTTGCCATTTATTAAATTGTCATAAGCCAAATATTTCTAAATAATTAATGTATTTATTTTACTGGCTGCCTTTTTATTTTTATCTTTCTTGTTGTTATTTATCTGTGTATTTGGTCAACAGGGAGAAAATGTAGCTCCTTTTTTCTGGGATGGAAGGACATGTTAAAAATGAATATTTTGGAAAGTGCTTTTTAATTATTCTTTTATTATCTTTTTTTTTTTTTTGTCAGTCGTGGTGCTTGAACTCTGGGCTTGGCCTCTGTCCCTGTATTCTTCAGCTCAAGGCTAACGCTCTACTACTTGAGCCATGGTGCCACTTCCGGTTTTCTATGGTTTATTGGAGATAAGAGTCTCACGGACTTTCCTGCCCGGGCTGGCTTTGAACCGAGATCCTCAGATCTCAGCCTCCTGAGTAGCTAGGATTACAGGCATGAGCCACTGGTGCCCTGCACTTTTATTATCTTTAAGTAAGTTGTACAAAGTAGTTTCCATTCAACATCAGTTTATGAGTACAAAGCATCTTGATCCATGTCACCCCTTAATATTTTGGGAGTTTTTTAATTGATAAAAGAAAATGCTGACATTCTTATTAGTCAATAAATTTGGTAAAGTTCATCTTTTTTGCTTTTGTTTCTGTTTTTGTTTTGCCAGTTCTGGGGCATGAACTTGGGGCCTGGGTGCTGTCCCTGAGCTTCTTTTGCTCAAAGCTAGCACTCTACCACTTGAGCCAAAGTGCCACCTCTGGCTTTTTCTGTGTATGTGGTACTGAGGAATCAAACCCAGTGCTTCATGTATGCTAGGCAAGCACTCTACACTAAGTCACATTCCCGGCCCCATTAAGTCCATCTTGAAGAGATAACATGTAATAGCATTTGAAATGAGGATACTGTAACCTTAAGAAGAATGTCATAACTGATAACTGGTGATTGGGCAAATTTATTAAATAAGTGATTTTGATCGTTTTTTTCATGCAGGTAAAATGTATTCACTAGGTTTCTAGCAATCTCCTTTTACTTTGTAGTTTGTAGTGTTCAAAAAGATTCTTTTAAAAAAAATAGTAAAGTCCATATTGGGGAAAAGGGGACTGGAAGTGTGGCTCAAGGGATAAAATGCCTGACTAGGAAATGTAAGGCCAAAAATTCAAATCCCATGCTACTAAAAGTAAATTAATTTTTTTTCTGGTTGTGGGTCCTGAATTTTGGGCCTGGGCGCTGTCCCTCAACTCTTCAGCTCAAGGCTAGTACTCTACCACTTGAGCCATAGCACCACTTCAGGCTTTTTCTGCTTATGTGGTGCTGAGGAATTGATCCCAGGGCCTCATGCATGCAAGGCAAGCGCTCTACCACTGAGCCACCTTCCCAGCCCTAAGTTAATTTTTAAAAAGAAAAAAAGGTAGAATCTTGAGCAAGCTCAGTAGTAGAACATGTGCCTAGTATTTATGAGGCCTTGGATTCTATCACTAACCCCTTCAAAAAAGAAATCTAGATTCCAAAATCTATGCTTTAACAAGCAATAAATAACCAGTGGTGGGCATATCTTTTCTCCTGCCAAGAAATCCACAGCTAACATATAACTTCACTGGACAGAGCACAAACCTAGGCCCGAGAACTGGTCTTCTCAGTGTGTCTGATGGTCCTTCCTCAGACTCCACACAGTTAGACTGTGGGGAGAAGGTAAACTCTCCGAGTGAGAAAGTTATTCCAGTTCAAAGAAATCCCACTTTAGAGATGGGAACACCACGTTCCTGGAGGAATGTTCCAGAAAGCAAGCAGAATGGCTGGCCCAAGAATAGGCAGGAAGTTAGTAGCAGAGCCCAGATGAATGCCCAGGTTTCTGGCTCCTAGCAGGTGCCAGGTCCTTCCTGCAGCCTGCTGAGACCTGCAGCACCAACTTGGTGCTCTTGGCCTCTTCCCCTCCATGTGAAGTTGGAGTGAGTCAGCCATCAGAACCCGTCTTGTCACTTATAAATGCAGTTAACGATGCATAGTTGCTTCCTTGTGGAGAGCTCACTAATAAGATTTCATTTTTTGGAGTGGGGTAGTCAGTTAGGGGCTTGAACTCAGGGCCTGGGTGCTGTCCCTGAGCTCTTTTGCACAAGGTTATCACTCTACCACTTGAGCCACAGCTCCACTTCTGGATTTTTTGGTGCTTAATTAGAGATAAGAGTCTCATGGATTTTACTTTCTAGGCTGGCTTCGAACCATGATCCTCAGACCTCATCCTCCTGAGTAGCTAGGATTACAGGAATGAGCCACCAGCACCTGGCTACTAATAAGCATTTAAAAAAAAACATTTTGAAGGGCTCCTCAGAGCCTGGCTTCGGAGAAGAGGAGTGGTTCCTGGCTTTTGGGAAAGATAGTCACCACTCCCACCCCCACATCCTCATCAAAATATGCCCATCAAATATGTTCATCATATGCCAGCAATGGGCCACATTTCCACCACCCTGAGACCCCTTTCCCTGGGGATTCTGAGCCTTTTCAAAATGGCAGCTACCCCAATGACTTTCCTTTCCCCGAAGGCCCATGTGCATTTCCAGCCAGGGCAATACCTGACATCCTTACCACAGGGGAGCTTCTCCTCGGGGCACGCTTTGGCTTCATGACAACCCTTCTCCTGGGTATCTCAGAACCTGCTTCCAAATGCACTTACAGAAGAGTTCATGTGTGAAGCCAGCCCAGGCCTTGAGTGTTCCATTGACACCAGTGGCATCCAGCGAGGCTGCTGTGTGAGGTAGTCACTGTGGTGGCTGAGAAGACAGGCTCTGCTCTAGAGGGTGCTTTTTTCAAAATTGACATATTGGCAGGGTGCCAGCGGGTCACATCTCAAATCCTAGCTACTCAGGGGGCAGAGATCTGAGGATCAAGATCTGAAACCAGCCAGGGCAGGAAAGTCTGAAAGACTGATCTCCAATTAACTACCACCAAAAAGTGAAGCTGTGACTCAGGTGATAGAGCATTAGCCTTGAGTGAAAAAGCTAAGGGACAGTGCCCAGGCCTGAGTTCATGCCCCAGTATTGGTACACACGCACACACACACACACACACACACACACACACACACACACACCCTTCTGTGAGGATATCAAAGGCAGGCAGTGAGTGCTGGAAAGTTCTGAGAAGGCAGGAATCTTTGATCTTCAATTTGTCAGCAGAGCTTAAATGCATTTCTACTGTTAAGCCAAAAGCATTACTACCCAAAAGCATTACTCCAAAGGAAGAAGATCACACACCAACTAGAATGGCAGGCACAGGAAGATAACTGCTACTAGAATGAGGCTGAGTGGTTTTCAACTCTGTTGTACATTGGAAGCCCCCAGTATCTTCCCACGCTACTGATCTGAATCCCACCCCAAACTTACTGATTTATCGGTGGGGATGAGACATGAGCACTGGTAAAGAGGATGTTAAAATCTCCTTGGTAGCTGAACTGATGACCGATGACTGATTTATCGGTAGGGATGAGACATGAGTACGGGTAGAGAGGGTGTTAAATTGTTCTTGGTAGCTGAACTGATGATTCATGCTTGTAATCCTAACTACTCAGGAGGCTGAGACCTGAGTATTGTGGTTCAAAGCCAACTGGGCAGGCAAGTGCATGAGACCATTATCTTCACTGAACTACAAAAAAAAAAAAAAAACAGAAGTAGAGCTGTGGCTCAAGTGGTAGAGTGTTAGCCTTGAGCTAAAGAAGCTTAGGGACAGCATTCAGGCCCTGAGTTCCAGCCCCAGAACAGGCACACACATGTGCATGTGCTTGTGTTCTCTCTCTCTCTTTTTCTCTCTCTCTTTCTCTCTCTCTCTGTCTTTCTCTCTCTCTCACACACACACACTCACACACACACAGCTTTTAGGCAAGTTGTTCTAGACTCAGGGAGCAGAGAGCTGAGTGTGGCACAGGACACAGGCTGATAGGCAGTAAAAGGGATAGATGGTCACCAGTCAGAGTGTAGAGCTCACACTAAGGCATAGCAGAGGCCAAGAGGAGTACCTGATTGTCAGTGAGGAGCATGTCCAGTTCTGGAGTGAGATGCAATGGGATTGGAGAAGTGGGCAACACGTGGCCACGAGCAGTTTTTAAGGAACCTAGAAGCATGCAGGTTTAAACGAGCAGACACCTGGCAGCCCAAAGGGGGCTGTAAGTTTGGGAGGGTTCAAGATTTAGGAAGTGTAGTTGGGATAGGGGAGATGGCAATGGCAAGGTCAGAACTCATTCACTCTTTTATCTCCCACAGCTGACCGTGAGTTCTATGAAGTCAGGACCCCAAGGGGAGCGGGGGGG